CCACCTGTGAGTACACTGGACCTGGCCTGTGTATACAGCAAGTGTACTCACCTAGGCCTGTGCTATGTGTTTAGTTTTGTCTGACTCTTAGTGACCTCATGGACTGTAGCCCCCCAGACTCCTCTGTCCATGGAATTTTCCAGGCAAGAATACTGGAGCAGGTTGCCATTTCCTACTCCAGGGGGATCTTCCCCACCCAGGGATCTAACCGGAATCTCTTTCTGTCTCCTGCATTGGCAGGTGGATTCTTTACACTTGAGCTACCTGGGAACCTGGGCATGGGTATTCAGCAAATGTACAGACAGTGTGCACTGGATGAATGCAGGAGGCCTTCCTGTCCTGGGAGGGTGGGGGTCAGCGTGGCCCAAGTTATTTTCTTCTTGTCCCGTAGTCCTTCTGGGCTCACTTGGTATGGTCAGTTAATCAACATATATTGGACTTAGCGGCTCTTCTGGGAGCCTAGGGATGTCACAGTCTCGGGGAACAGTCAACAGGGTCGCCGGCTCTGCCGGTGTCCTTCTGGTGCTGAAGGGGGCTGGCGGCGCATCAGCTTCCTCGCCTGTAAAATGGTCTTGTGAGACTGGAGAGAGCCAGAGGGCTGGGGCTGGGCCCTCACCGGGAGACTGGACAAACACCTGCACTGGAGGAGGGAGGTGACTGATATTCCCGCTCCAGGCGAGGGCGGAAGCGGGGCAGAAGGGGAGGGGCCGGCGCCTGCGCCAGTAACCCGATCCTCTGGAATGCGCCGGGGCCAGACGCGCCCCCAGCCCGAGCCCGGCGCCCTTCCCCCGGCCGATCTGCGGGTCCTGTCACTGGGGACGATCTCCGCAAGCTCCACCCCCACCACCCCTTGGGTCTTTAGCGCCGGGGACTCTGTAGGCAGGAGCCCCACCCGCCCCGCGGGGTCCCGAGCGCCCGGGCACCGTCCTTGGCGAGACCCTCTGCCCCAGGACCCCTTCGCTTCATTACTTTCGGCTCTTTAACTTTCTTTGAGGCTTTGTGTTTTATTAAGTAGATTTTAGGTCTCGATCTTCAACTAAAAACTAAACATTAAATCGAATTGTAGGTTCCTTTAAACAAGAGAGCAATCTCTTTGCTCTGGGGAGACACCAGAGCCGGGAGATTTGAAAACGGGCGAGGGGGCCGTTACGATCAGCCAGCCTCCCTTTGGAAGCCTAGAGTGGGGATGGGGCTTCAACTTTGGCTTTGTAAAGACCCAGGGCAGGTCACACATCCTCTCTGGACCCCGCTGGGGGTGGGGGGTGGGATAATTCCCAAGACTTAAGATGCTGCAGGGAGAATAAACGGGAAAATGAAGAGTCCCAACCTAGCCCTTTTACCATCTAGTCCCTCAATTCCATCTGCCACTTCTGCCCTTGAGACAGGCGCTCAGCAGTGTCCCAATCTTAGCGACCCCATGGACTGCAGCATGCCAGGCTTCCCTATCCTTTACCACTTCCCGAAGTTCAAACAGCACCTGGGTTTCAGTGGAAGCACTTTCACCGCCACCCTTACCTTCTCTCCCTCTGGCTTTCCCTGGCTCAGTGAATCCAGCCTCATTTCCCTCTCTACCCTGCACGGATGTGGCCAGCAGGTTTCTGCCCCTGGACCTTTGCACTTGCTGCTTTCCCTGGGACACTGCCCTCAAATGAATTATCTCATGATTTGCTCCAGCTCCTCCTGAATTCAGCATCATCTCCTAGGGTGACCCTCCCATAGTACTCAACTCTAAAACCACTTCCCCTGCATCCTGCAGGAAGGAGGTACCATTTATTCTCCTTGAAGCTGTGCTTGCCAGGTTCCTACCTCAGACTGTGTGCCTGAGTGGTTGCTGGTGTTTGTGTCATTCATGTGTCCCCCCCATCTCTAGGCTCACAGTAACTGCTCAGTCAATGTATGTGGAATGAATGAATGGGAGATAGCCCATGTTCACTGCCTGGGACTGGTTGATGGATTTCAGGCCCCCTTAGACCTGCCTGAGGAGCCCCCAGCCTGGGAAGACTAAGCTGGAAACAGCTGCACCCAAGCTCTGGGGGGTCAACCCCTGGCCCAAATGGAGGATCAGGACTGGGGTGTCCCAGAGGGAAAAAGGAGAGGATGAGGAAGGACATTGGGTCACAAGGAATGGCAAGTCACAGCACAGGAACCTAATGGGGTAGGTATTGGAGAATAGGGATAGCAGAGGCTGCCAAGGGCAGCCAAGCTAGGTCTTCCCCATCTAGCCCCAAGGACCCTTCTGGGGCAGAGTAACTTAGACACAGAGAGTGGGCAGGGCTCAGTCAGATGGAAGGGTCTAGGGAAACCCCTCTAGGCATGGTGATGGAAGACTTCTTGGAGGAGGGGACACTGGAGGTGGGTTTTGAAGGATGAGTAGGAGTTTGCCAGGAGGCTAAGGAAGGGCAGTTCAGGCTGAGGGTACTCCAAAGAACTGCAGTTAAGTTTGGCCAAATGATAATAGAATGATTACAGAAAACATTTATTGAGCTCTTACTATTTGTTCAAATACTTCCAATAGAAGTCACAATACTCATGAAGTAGGTGGGATTATTTGCTCCATTTTCATAAGCAGTAAATACAATCAGAGAGGTAATACGCCTTGGCCTTCCTTTGCCTCCATTTTCCAAAGCCTGTCTGCTGGTCACCCTCTCAACTCAGGCTAGACCTGCCCGCAGCTCACCTGACCATTCTTACCTATCAAAGTCAAGGCCTAAGGTCAGGGGGGAGCCTCCTAAGGCTGCCCACTCACCCTCCTGCCTTGGGGAGAAGCATGACCCCACTTCCTTCAATCTAGCCCCACTGTATAGTCCAGAGAAGGGTCCTAGGGCAGGATAGGTTACAGGCTAGGGGCTGCATCCCCTTCATTTAGGGGTCCCTTTGGCCAGACTGGGACCCGAGAGGACACAACTGGAGGACACAGAAACTCACATGCCTGGAAACACAGATACATACACACGCATACATACACATGGGTACACATGCATGGATTCACACAAGCACAAACACCCACTCCTGTGTGTGAACACACCTGGGTACACTGACCCATACATGAACACATACAGGCACATGTGGGCACAAACAGACATTTGTGGGTACACAGACACACATCCATTCCCCCAACTCTCCACCAGCCAGGCCAGGCCTCTTGCTCATGGTGACAGCCTCCCTCAAGGCCTTCTTGCTCCACAGCCCAGTTAGGGGCACGGCCTGGTGAGGAAGGGAAACAGAAGACCAGGTGTTCATGTCCACAGGCCAGTCAGACAAACAAGTCAGAAAGTGCCACAGCAACCCACCAGTCCTCTCCTTTAACACTGGCTAAATGATAACCCACTCCAGTATTCTTGCCTGGAAAATCCCATGGACGGAGAAGCCTGGTAGGCTACAGGCCATGAGGTCCCAAAGAGTCGGACACGACAGCGATTTCACTTTCACTATTGGATGCTAGGCCCCATGCAGGAAGCTGGAGACCCTGCAGGCCCAAGATAGCCAGCCCGCTGGGACTTATGGTCCGCCCTAGCATTGTTGATGGTTCCAGGTATAATGGGAACAAGGTGAGTGGGAGGGGCCTCTCTGAGGACCAGCCGTAGGCACTGGGGGAAGGGAGCCAGCTCCTGTTAAGGCCCTGAGGGCAGCAAGGAGTTGGGAAGACAAAGCTCAGACTGGGTGAGAGTGAAACGTTAGAGGGTGTCACCAGAAAGAACAAAGGAATGTATGGGCCCTCCACCAACTGGTGATGGACTGGGCACCATCCAGTGTGTGATGAGAGCCTTGGAGGGGTTCTGTGCAGGGTTCCTAGGTCGGACCCAGATGTCCCAAGGATCTCTTGGGAGTGTGGTGAAGGGCCCCTCCCACCTCCCTCATATTCCCATCCCCAGCCAGTCTCTATGGAGGCCCATTAAGCCTGACCTGACAATCATAGTAGTAATAAACAGGTAATAATTACCAACTGGGATTCCTGACTTAACAGCCCAGTCCAGGAGCCACCGGGGTACCCACAGGAGGCTCTAGCAGACGCAGAGGTAAAAACGTAAGCCGCTGCCCAGGGGCACGGACGCCCGAATTCTACTGGATGGATAAGAGCTCAGGCTTGGTCACGCTCTGGCCTCGAGGGCAGTTCACTCCACCTCGCAGAGCCTCAATTTCCCCTCTGTAGTCAGGAAGTCGGACTCCCGCGATTTAGACCCCACCCTATGAAAAGTAGCAGGATCAAAGCATTTCCAACAACTTCTGGCTGGAACCCCCTCTCCCCTCCCCAGTCTTTCTGGGGCAAACACACCGGGGTGGGGGTGAGCTGGAAACAGACCTGGCCCATACCCCCGGCGAGTGGCCGGGCACAGCTCCCTTAGGCCCGCACAATGCCCAGTCTGAGGCGCGATAAAGGAGACACAGCATAGTGAAGCGGGAGGCGCCAGGGAGTTATTTATCCATCCAGAGCCCCATCCCCCTCCGGTCCCTGGAGGCCGGCACCGCCCCCGTCCCGCCCGGGGCCCCACGCGCGGACGCGGGGCGGGGCCTCTGGGAGGGCTGGCGCCGGGTGGCCGGGCCCATCACACCACCCGGGACGTGCCTTGGCGGGAGGCGGCGCTGGGGGCATTGGTCGTACACTGCACTCCTGGGGCGGAGTGACCAGGCCCGGTGCTCGGCCCGCCCCCATGACGTCAACCCACAAGGCAGCGCGCTGTTGTGCCGTTTACCGCGCGTCACCCGGACAACGGCAGTCGGTGGGGGATGAGGGGGGTGTTATTGACTTGGCCCCACCCCATCATGCAAATGAGAGACGTCACTCGTGCCCAATGGCGAGCGGAGACAGTGAGCTCATCGCGCCGGGCCGAGGCTATAAGGGGGCGCACGGGTTGCGCGGCGCAGGAGCCGCCGCCAGCGGAGGGCCGGGCGCAGCGGCCGCGGCCGGGGCGGGCGCAGGGCCGAGCGGACGGGGGGGGCGCGGGCCCCCGGGCGGCCGCGGCCACTCCCCCCCCGGGCCGGCGCGGCGGGGGAGGCGGAGGATGGAAACACCCTTCTACGGCGATGAGGCGCTGAGCGGCCTGGGCGGCGGCGGCAGTAGCAGTGGCGGCGGTGGCAGCTTCGCGTCCCCGGGTCGTCTGTTCCCCGGGGCGCCCCCGACGGCGGCGGCCGGCAGCATGATGAAGAAGGACGCGCTGACGCTGAGCTTAAGTGAACAGGTGGCGGCAGCGCTCAAGCCCGCGGCCGCGCCTCCCCCGGGCCCTTTGCGCACCGACGGCGCCCCGGGCACGGCGCCCCCCGACGGTCTGCTTGCCTCGCCCGACTTGGGTCTGCTCAAGCTCGCCTCGCCCGAGCTCGAGCGCCTCATCATCCAGTCCAACGGGCTGGTTACCACCACGCCGACGAGCACGCAGTTCCTCTATCCCAAGGTGGCGGCCAGCGAGGAGCAGGAGTTCGCCGAGGGCTTCGTCAAGGCCCTAGAGGACTTACACAAGCAAAATCAGCTGGGCGCGGGCGCGGCCTCTGCTGCAGCCGCCGCCGGGGGACCTTCGGGCACGGCTGCGGGCGCCGCGCCTCCCAGCGAGTTGGCCCCAGCGGCGGCCACGCCCGAGGCGCCCGTCTACGCGAACCTGAGCAGCTACGCGGGCGGCACCGGGAGTGCTGGGGGTGCTGCGACGGTCGCCTTCGCCGCGGAGCCCGTGCCCTTCCCACCGCCGCCACCCCCAGGCACGTTGGGGCCGCCGCGCCTGGCCGCGCTCAAGGATGAACCGCAGACGGTGCCCGACGTGCCGAGCTTCGGCGAGAGCCCGCCGCTGTCGCCCATCGACATGGACACGCAAGAGCGCATTAAGGCAGAGCGCAAGCGTCTGCGCAACCGCATCGCTGCCTCCAAGTGCCGCAAGCGCAAGCTGGAGCGCATCTCGCGCCTCGAGGAGAAAGTGAAGACGCTCAAGAGCCAGAACACGGAGCTGGCGTCCACGGCGAGCCTGCTGCGCGAGCAGGTGGCGCAGCTCAAGCAGAAGGTCCTCAGCCACGTCAACAGCGGCTGCCAGCTGCTGCCCCAGCACCAGGTGCCCGCGTACTGAGCCCGCGCACGGGGCGCATGCGCGGCCCCTTCCCAGAGAGGCGGGCTCGCGTGGGGGGGGGGGCGTGGGCGCCCCGGACTCGGAGAGGGCGCGGCCCCGGGGACCCCCCCCCCGCAGGGTGCCAGGACTCGAAGAGGGCGCCTCAGACTCGACAAGCTGGACCCCCTGCTCCCGGGGGGGTGAGCGCATGACCTCCCCTGCCCCGCTCTTGCGCTGCCTTTCTCCTGGGCGCGCGGTCACCCCGTGTTGCACAAACCCGCGCGTCCTGGCCGCCCCTTTGTACACACCGCCGCCGAAGGAGGCTCCGAGGGGGCGCAGCCTCAAGCCCTGCGCTTCCTTTTTCTTTTACCTTTTTTTTTTGACTTTGGAAGAGAGAAGAACAGAGTGTTCGATTCTGCCCTATTTATGTTTCTACTCGGGAACAAACGTTGGTTGTGTGTGTGTGTGTTCTCCTGTGTTGGTTTTTTAAGGAAATGGGAAGAAGAAAAAAAAAAAAAACCCTCTCTCCTCCCCTTTCCTCGCTCTCGCTTCCCCTCCCCTTCCATCCCTCCGACACCCCCCTCCTCCCGCCCTTTTTCCTCTGTTTGTTTTTTTGTTTTGTTTTGCTACGAGTCCACATTCCTGTTTGTAATCCTTGGTTCGCCCGGTGTTCTGTTTTCAGTAAAGTCTCGTTAACGCCAGCTCGGCTCTTCGCCTCCTTCTTCTCTTGCAGGGGCCTGACGGGGTGGGCGGGGCCTGGCCGGGTCCCATCCCCTCCTGCCTCCTTCACCTCCTCCCTCCGCCCCTGCTCGGAGGAGGCCGGACTCCGCGTCCGGGAAGAGCCTGTGCATCTGGCGCTCAGCGAGCGCCATCTAGGCGCCCGGCCGACTCTGGTCGGCTTGGGTGGGGGACGTTGGGGTTTGCAACCTGCCTTTGGAAATAGCCAGCCCACGGGTGTCCTCTTCGCGTAGGAGGGACTGCGAGAGGGAAGCGGGGGGCAACTCCAGCCCGAGACTGAGTGAAAGGCAGAAACTTGAACTTGCCGGGCTGCTGTCTGCTTGTCTCTAAGATGGGCAGAGCAATCGTAAACTTGTCCCATAAAGTTGTGAGGATTAAGAGAGTTTGTTTACAGAGCAGGTCTTGGCTCACAGGTGGTGCTCAATCTAAGCTTGTGTTATTTGTTGTATGGGAAACCTGAATCTCAGGACCAGAAGAAAGGCTGTCTTCCTCCAGGCCTGGGGTGTGGGTAGGTTCTGTGGGACCTCCCTATTATAGCACTAACTTGAAATACCCCTTCCTCAACATCCTATTCTCCCGTTTTGAAGAAACGAAGTTTCAGAGAGGTTGAGTGACTGGCTTGAGGTCACAGCCTTCTTAGGAGCCTGTGCCGGGATGTATGGGCCTTGGACTTCTCACCTCCAGAGCCTTGACTGACTTCCAGGTTCCCCTCTTCCCCTGCCTCCTCTGGCCTTTCCTATTGTGGGGGCGAAAGACCCCAGACCTTGGGCTTCTGCCTCCCTTGAGGTCCCCAGGGACTTGAGCTTTGGTGGCCAAGGACACAGGGCAAGAGAGTTTTGAACTGCAGTTGTGTACCCAACCCTGCTAGGGAAGGTGGGCAATCATGCCTGTTTTACAGATGAGGAAACAGGCACCGAGAAGGAAGGCCTTGTGCCCACAGTCCCCCTTGGCCCTCAAAAGAGAGAGGCCTCCACCTACGAGTTCATTTCTCCTCCAGGTCACCCTGGCTGCCCACTTTTCAAGGCTTCGAGAGCTGCTTTGGGGGTTGTTTTTTAACCATGTGACCTCTCCTTGGTACCACCCTCAGGCAGACGTTTCGGGAGAGGGGCCTGGACTGAGAAGAGGGCTGATAACTGAGCTCGGGGTGTCCACACAGAGGAGACCAAGAAGAACCATGCTTGGGGGGCAGAGCTTCACTCTTCAGGAGACTTGGGTCCCAGCCTAAATGCCAGGGTGCCACTGCAACCCTCAGCCAAGTTCCCTCCCTGCTCTGGCCTTCACGTCCTGTGCTGTGAAAAAGGATGTGTTTCCTGTGTCCAGGTAACAACATGTCTCAGGTCAGAAGTTGGAAGTGCTCAGGAGACAGACAGTAGAGAAAGGAGTCAGGCGAGGTGTGCCCTGTGCAGCCCCAAATCTAGAGAGAAGGGGAGACCCCAGGGAGGTTACAAGATCTGCTGACGCCCCCTGAGATGCTTTTACTCACAGCACTTCTGACATCAGATGCATGTATGTTTTATTCTTCCCCACACCAAGCAGTTCTCCAGCTGGGTATCCTACAATTCTCTACTGGAGTTACAAGAGACCGCACAGGTGAAGGGTTCAAGACTGCCCCACTTCAGATCAGTCCTAGATTACTGCCTATACTCCTTTATGTTTTAATTAAAAAAAAATTACCTATTTATTTATTTTTGGCCTCGCAGAATATGCTAACCAGGATTTGAACCTGTGCCCCCTGCAGTGGAAGTGCAGCATCCTAACCACTGGAGCGCTGAGAGGTTCTCTGCCCCTTATACTTCTTAACGACTGATAATAAACCTGAGAGTTTCCACTGCCCATTCCTCAGTTTCAGTAATTTGCTAAAACAGCTCACAGACTCACTATATTATAGTGATTATAAAGAAAACAACTCAGGGACAAGCACATGGAAGAGACTCGCAGGGCAACGTATGGGAGAAGGGCAGGGAGCTTCCCTGCCCCTCTAGGTACCTCATCTTCTGAGCATCCCATGTGTTCACCAATGGGATGAAATCACTGGCCTTTGGGGATTAACTCAAAATCCAGCCATAACCTCTCCCAGGAGGTCTGGGAAGTGGGGGCTGAAATTTACAATCACCTAGTCACGCCTTCCCTGGAGTAGGAAATGGCAACCCATTCCAGTATTCTTGCCTGAAGAATCCCACGGACAGAGGAGCCAGTGGGCTAAGGTCCATGAGGTTGCAAAGAGTAAGACACTAAGTGACTTCGCAGCACAATCATACCTTGGTCTTTTTGGAGACCAGCTCCCATTCTGAAGCTACTTAAGTGCCTTGGGCCACTGCTTTTCTTATTAACATACAAAAAACACATCACTCCGGAGTTCATCAAAGTTTTAGAAGCTGTGTGCTAAAAACCAAGGACAAAGATCAGATGTATCTTGGGACTTATCTGGTGGTCCAGTGGATAAAGGCCCTATGCTCACAGGGCAGGGAACCCAGGTTGGATTCCTGGTCAGGGAGCTAGATCCCACATGTGAGAACTAAAAGTTTGCATGCTGCAACTAAGACCCTGCACAGCTTGCTAAATGGCAACACGGGGGCCTTTTACCTCCCTTGAAGGAGACTTGGGCCTTGGTGGAAGGCCAATCTTTTCACTGGAATGTGCCATGAAGGGCTTTTTGGAAACCACAGATCTGACACCTACTTGATACTTTTCTGAAAAAAAAAAAAACAAAAAAAAAAAGGCTTTGACTGCACTTGGCCCTGGGCAGGTGTCTCTTTCCAGGCTCCACCTCCCACCCAAACTGTTGCCTTTCCTTCTGGCCTCAGGGCCTTTGCACAGCTGCGTAGCCTGATATACCTCTTCCCTCAGCCACACAGCTCATCTCCACCTTACAGCCTCTGCTGCATGTGCCCTTGTGGGGCTCCATCGGTGCTGTGTGCTTCTTCTGTTATTGCCCTGATCACCCTGGATTTGTGTTTGGCTCTCTTAGGGCCTAGATAGGCGCTATCCTGGTGACTGCTGAAACAAAAGAGCTAAGTTTTGTCCAACAGCCATGTCGCTGGTTTTGCCCAACTGCCATGTCGCTGGTTTTGCCCAGAACCACACCCACAGTGTGGAAAACACAGGGTCTTTGCGGGGGAGGGCTGAGCATCCCTGATGGCCCCTTGCTTGGATGCCCCCCCCCCCATCCCTGCAGGCTCCCCAGGGAGGCCAGCCAGAGGCCTGTGGGCCAGGCTGTGTGGCTTTGGCAGGACTTTGCTGAGCCAAAGTGTGTGTCAGCCGGGACTCAGCCAGCAATGATTCACACCAGGCCTTGGCCCAGCCCCAGGAGGTGACTGGGGACGGTGGCCTCACTTCCCCTTCCAGGACTGTGGCCCAGGGTCAGAGCCCACTTTTGCCAAGCAGTGGTAAGTTCCCAAGGGGCCCTGGACCTGGCGCTATCCTAAGGAGCCCCCATCCTCAACAGCGGGAGCCCAGCGCCTGAGCTCCTCTGCTTTAAACCCTCTCGTGGCTTCCCTGCACCATCTCAACAAAACCAAAGCTGCCGTCCTCCTCTCTGAAGCCCCCCCTATACCGTCACCCTCCCCACCCTCCTCTCCCTCCCTCAAGGGCTTAGCCTCCTCCGTGTTCTCCGTGGTCTTACCTGGCGGCTCAGACAGTAAAGGATTCTTCCTGCAGTGCGGGAGACCCGGGTTTGACCCTAGAGTCAGGAAGATCCCTTGGAGTAGGAGATGGCAACCCACTCCAGTATTCTTGCATGGAGAATTTCATGGATAGAGGAGCCTGGTGGGCTACAGTCCAGGGGTGTGGCAGAGTCTTAACAAAACCGAGCACTAACGCTTTCACCGTGTTCCCTGAACATGACCAGCTTGCTCTCACTTCAGCGCCTTTGCATGTGCCCTGCCATCCATCTGGATGCCGTGCTCACAGCAGGCCCCCAGTCAACTCATTTTCTCTCTCCGTGGGGTTCAGCCCATCCTACCCCCTCCTTGGTTTGTGAAATGAAATATTTCCTTCTGAATCCAGTGGGCAAGAAATGTCACTGCCGTCAGCAATTTCTGGCTTCTAAATATAAATGAGGACTCCCAAAAGGGAACAGGATCCCTTGGATCCAGCAGCTGCCCCCCATGGTGATTGCTGAGGAGCTGGGTGGTGGGAGGTTGGGGGGGGGGAATGCAAGAAGCAGCCATTTGCCACACCTGCCACCCCTTACGTTGAACAAGGAAACAGGATTTGGCCCCAGATGGCTGAGGTGCATAGGAAAGAAATTATTTCAGTGAGCCCAGAGGCTTACATCTTTTACA